CTTATTCACAGATAAGAAGCTTATCCCCCACTGGCGAGCCATACATAAGACACATCAAAATACACACCATGCACATGAATCTGAATAGGGATGCTGATTCCTTACCATTCACAGCCTTCTGGCTCCAGGAGATGCATTATTTCCACCCAGCAGCACAGAATTTTTTTTTTTATTGCATTCAGCTGTGGCAGAAATGGATAGCTATAAAGTGAGGGCTGGATAAATATGGCTTCTTCTTCCGGTATGGCATGTTAAATAAAACATTTTTTTTTTGTAGAGTGTTTTTGTGCGGTGGGGCTGGGATGTGATCCAGGCTTGTGCTGCGCATCTGCAGCTGGGTGAGGGATCTAAGGGGACCTGACGTGTGCATTCACGTGGGAGTGGGGCGGGAGATGTGAAAGTGACCGGAGTGGGGATGCTAGGCTCAACCTGGATCAGTCACAGACAAGCCCTGCTTGGTAGGGTGCGCAAAAAAAATACCAGCCACAGCTGGGAAAAAAGGAAACAACACCCCGGGCACTGTGTGCTTCATGTTCATTGAAAGAGCTCTAGGGAGATTAGTTAGGATTTGAAAGCAAGAAATGTTGCCTTTGAAAAAAAACTCAGCCTTGTTTACTTAACCCTTTCCAGCCAGAGGGAGCCAGCCCTTTAAAGCGTGTCTATGATCAAAGCATAAAATCACATATTAATTTCCACATTTAATTTCAATTATTTCTAGGCTCCTCCTATTAATCTGATCGATCTTGATGTTTGTAAACTTACCTTGTAAAGATCACCCTGTGTGTAGGTACTGCTGTGTCACACATTTCACAGAGCCTGCCTTCTGATCTATAGAGGTGCTGAGAGGAGGAGTTTCAGGAGGCGGAGTCAGTACAGGAATCACTGCTTGCAGGCAGCAAGGTACCATGGGATATGTAGTCCTTAAAAATTGAAAGAAAGCAGCAAAGGAGAAGCTGCAAAGCATGCAGGGAATCCAGAAAGATGTGGAAAGAGACGTCCAGCAGACAGGCAGAACTCACAACATGGCAGAAGATTTTTCAAACAAGCTTATATTAGATTGTAAATTTAACTATTGTTTGTATTGCTGATGTAATAAAATGAAATATGTGATTATAGGACTCCTTAAAGTAGAGCTAAAGGCATTTTTTTTATTTTGGATAGTATGATAGAGGGTTAAAATTCCTGTTATGGTTTTTTTTTTTTCCATTTATTTCCCATTGGGGAGATTTCCCATCACTTCCTATCCCATAGCCAAAGAAAGAAGTAAGAGGAAATTCCCCCAAGATGAGGAAATCCATGGTTGTCACTAAGGTCACCAGAACTAGTGTCCCCATCAGTGGCGGGACAAGGTCATCTAGTGCCCTGAAATTGTCCAAAATGTCTTGGTATGCTGACACCCTAAGAGCTCCCTTCACTGGAAGTAAGGGGCCAAGCCCAACCCCTGAAAAAAACAACCCCACACCATAATCCCCCCTCCACCAAACTTTACACTTGGCACAATGCAGTCAGGCAAGTACCATTGTCCTGGCAACCACCAAACCCAGCACGTCCATTGGATCGCCAGACAGAGAAGTGTGATGTCACTCCAGAGAACATGTCTTCACTGCTCTAGAGTCCAGTGGTGGCATGTTTTACACCACTGCATCCGACGGTTTGCATTGCGCTTGGTGATGTAAGGCTTGGATGCAGCTGCTCGGCCATGAAAACCCATTCCATGAAGCTCTCTACACACTGTTGTTGTTGTAATCTGAAGGCCACATGAAATTTGGAGGTCCTTAGCTACTGACTCTGCAGACAGTTGGCGACTTCTGCGCACTGTGCGCTTCAGAATGTGCTGACCCCGCTCTGTCATTTTACGTGGCCTACCACTTCATGGCTGAGCTGCTGTTCCCAGTTGTTTTCTCTTTATTATAACACCACTAACAGTTGACCGTGGAATATTTAGCAGCAACAGAATTTCATGGATGGACTTATTGCACAGGTGGCAACCTACCACGGTACCACGCTTAAATTCACTGAGCTCCTGAGAGCGACCCTTTCTTTCACAAATGTGTGTAGAAGCAGTCTGCATGCCTAGGCGCTTGATTTTATATACACCTGTGGCCACCCCTCATAAAAAGTTGCCACACTAATCTTCACATTTCCCCCCTAAGCATAAATTCTGTTGGAAATCCAAAATTTTCCCCAAACAAAAATCCCAGTACAAATTCCCCTCCCCCCCCCCTTCAAAGCAATCTTCAAATCAGCATAAACCTTTGCCTCGCCCTTCCCCCTTGCAGCTCAAATCCTCTCTCTCCCCAAATACCCCCTCCTAGCACAAATCCTCTACCCCTCTAAATCCTCCTCTTCCAGCACCCCCCCCCCCCAGTTTTGCTTTTCTAACACAAATACCCCTCCTAGCACAAATACCCCCTCCCCAATCATCCCTTCTAGCACAACCCCAGATCTCCCCCCTCTCTAGCACAAATCCTCTCCCCCATCCTCTCTCTCAGCACAAATCACCTTTCCAAGCACACTCCCCAAATCACCCCCAGCAGAAACCACCTCCCCCACAAATTTCCCCTCCTAGAACAAATTTTACCCATCATCTTTCCTTCCACCACAAGTCCTCCCTGCTCAACAACCCAAATTTGTTTTTTTCTTTACTTTCACTTTTGATGAGAACGGTAAACTGGACAAATAGAGAGGGTGAATCCACTTAATGGGGACAGAGGCAGCAATAAAAACCTGACAGATGTTCTACTCCCTCCCTACTTTATCCAGAAATTTTAAAAAAGTATTGCCTTTAGTTCTAAGTTTCCACTGCGTATGTCAATGCACATGTGTTAATCCATTTTAACCCAAATTGAATGGGCTGGCAAAACAACTTAACAACCCAGAAAATGGACATGCACCTTTTCTAGCAATGCACCTTAAAGCGGAGCTCCACCCAAAAGGGGAAGTTCCGCTTTAAGCCATTGTCTCCCGCTCCTCATTGGCACCTTTGGGGAGCGGGTACCTGAATCTGACAGGCACACACTCCCACTTCTGCTACGATCCCCCAGGCGATTGAAGTGGAAGTTGTCCTCCCCCCCCCTCCCTCCCCGTAGGTGACATGACAGGTCCCAGAAGACTATGGGGCCATTCACAAAGCGCAGCGTTTCTCGCACGTGAGCAGTGGGCACCCAGCTGTGCAAGCTGTCACAGCTGGGTGCCCACACTGAAGATGCCAGTCCCGGGGAGAGAAGCGGCCGGTGAAACCAGCCATGGTGAGGACACTGCTGGACCGAGGGACAGGTAAGTGTCTGTATTTTAAAAGTCAGCAGCTACAGTTTTTGTAGCTGCTGACTTTTCTTTTTTCTTTTTCAGGTGGAACTCCACTTTAACGCACAGTAATTCATCAGCACATTAGGTTGGGTTGCATTCAAAATGAATGGCACATATCACACCAATGCCAGTGATGTGTGTGCTAATGTGTGCATTCTCGCAGTTCAAACATATGAATGGAGCCTAAAAGTAAGTAACACATGAGGTTTTACATGGGCTTCCCAGTTATGTGATTGACTGTCACAGTGATCACGTGATCGGGAGCTGACCTCAATAGCTCCAAATCAATGACTGGGAGCTATCGTTGACAGCACAGTCATTGTGCTAGGAAAGTTATGAGCACGCTCCCAGAACAAACAATGGAAGCTAGCTATACGTATATATGTGGTAGATTAGCATTGAAGTAATATTAATCCCAAAGCCAAAGCCAGCTCACACCTAATAAACCAGTTACAGCACCATTTTTGTTCCTTTAGGGATACACATTTTACATAAATAAATAAAAGCTGATCATTGTGTGCATCCATGTCAGTGGTAAATGGTTTGTCTCAACCCACTAACTGCTACATCTGCAGGACAGCTTGCTCTGTTGAAAAACAACAGGCTTACTGGCAGGATCACCTGGTGAAAAATAAAAGAAAGAAAGTCTAAAAAAACAGTCTTCTTTAGAATGCAAACTGAGCTGACATGTGCAGCGGCCTTGGGCTGCAGGGTGTGTCCAGGTGTGTAGTGATGCCATCGTGCACATTGGGTGTGTACATAAATGCCACACTCAATGCACCTTTTCTACAGGATTGAAAGAGGGGGAGGCAAACCAACAGCCTGAGCCTGCCCTGCATGGAGTTGGACCAGAGTATGACAGCTCAAAGCCACAGCCTCCACACAACCTCCTGTTTGTCCAGCTCTCTCGAGAGCCAGCCAAGTAGCTAGCTGCTGGCTTTCTGTGGGGAAGTCAGTCGCTCAGTGACTGTCCAAAAGTGTCACTGAACGACTAACTGCCCCACAGTGTCACTGACCAACTGAATGCCCCACAGAGTGGCTAACCGACTGACTGCCCTGCCCCACAGATTGACTGACTGTCCCACAAAGTCTGTGGGGCAGTCAGTCACTACGTAGGTCGGTCGCTCAGTCATTCTGTGGGGGGGGTCACCGATGTTAGGGGGAACACTGAAGTCATGGGGTAAGTTAGGACACCCATATAACAGGTGTGAACTCTGGGAAATCTGATGTAAAAGGGAACTCTGATATAAGGGGGAACTCTGGTGTAAGGGGGAACACTTGTGGACTCTGGGAATGCTAATTTAAGTGGAAATTCTGGGAACTCTGATGTGAGGGGGGGCTCCGATGTAGGAGGGACTCTGTGGAATCTGATGTAAGGAGGATCGCTGCAGACTCTGATGTATGTATATGTGATTTTGCAGTTCTGAGTAGGGGCCGTGCGCACACCCTATCCGCGCCACTATTCACAGCCTCAGCTGTCAATCGCCGTGTCCCACCCGGTGATTCCCCTCCGACACCCGGCGATCTCCGAGAATTATTGACGGGGTCGAGACCTGTATGTGAACAATACAGATCTCTTCCCTGTCAGCTCCTGCATACTGCTTCACCCACCCAGGCGTGGTCCTGGTTTATAAGGCATCTGAAAATACAATGTAGAGTGTGATGAAAGGAATTAACCAAATCCAATGTATTAGATGCAGGGGAGGACTGACAACTCATGGGGCCCCCGGGCAATAGGGGATCATGGGGCCCCTGCGTCCTAGCCCACACTCAAACCATACCCAAAAAAGCCTATGAAAGGAACCAGGGGCATCTCATGGGGCCCCCTACTGACCCCGGGCCCTCGGGCAGTGGCCAAGTTCCCAAATGGTCAGTCCACCCCTGATTATACGTGAAGTAGGTAAAATCAGTTAAAAGTGGAGCACTTTCAAAATCAGATCCAAGGCTTGTAATAAAGGCATCTGAAGATGCAGTACATGGAAGGAAATTACCGTGTCCCATGTGGTAGCCAGTCGAGGATGTCAATAAAAGGAGACAAAAAGCTGAAATTGGATTGAGTTACAGAACATGGGTAAGGAAGGTAATGCTCCCAACTAATGTGTAGGCATGGGATCTGTCATGAAACTCCATGTGATGCAGAGCGCAGGTATAATAAGTTAAGGGTGGAGCACTTGTAAAAGAAGACCTAAAGCTTGTAATAAACTGACCAAAGCTAAATGGTTGAAGCACAGTGTCTTGCGATCAGCCCATGGAGCAGAAAGGTCCTCCTGTGGCAATCACATCCTAATAACAATAACACACGTTAGAAAAGCTCATAGAAGGTAGTAAACAAAAGTGAGTAATAGGAAACATTTAAGTGAGAAATCTTCATTCAAACCTTTGGGGTTCAATGTTTGCAAGGTAAAAATACATTATGCTTCCCTTGGCAACAATATGTTTTTTTGTGCGTGGCTTCCCGGTCCTTCAATTTCCTCAAGCACATACCATCTAAGCACAGCAACTTGGTGTCTGTAACCCTTAGAATGCCTGACCATGTGCTTGAAGCTTTTTTCCTTTTTCTTTTCCCTTTCAATAATTGCCTGCATATTGTATTACTTGCCCAGTACAGTAGTTGCCTGTGTATTGTAACATTAGTTGATTTGTAGCCAAAGGCTGAATTCACAAATCTTTGCATTGCAATAAAGATCTTTGCTTGTGCTACGGGACTGTAATTTACAAATGTCATTGAATTGAAAATAACTGTCACTTATTTAAGTACAAGGATCTTTATCCTGTTGTGTTAGTTTTGTGATTAAAGTGGATCTAAACCTATCGATTGAATGGTTTAAAAAAAAAACAGTTACATTCCCAGTGTAGTGCTACCCCCGTAGGAGCTGCTTGTATCTTGCCCAGGCTTTCCCCTAGAACTTCTCCTGCAGCCAAGCACACAGCATTTTCTTTTGCCAGGGGCACACAACTTCCATGCATTACTCCAATGATCAGTCTAGAGGTTGCAGTTTTTATTTTGTTTTAGAACTGGGATAGGGAAAGGACATAGTGGGATTCTCAGAATTGAACTATTTCGTAATGGAGGACAGCTTTCTCTAAGTAGATCCAGTGGTGTATTTAGGATTTGTGCTGCCCTAGTCAGCTCCCCCCATTGACCAACAACACCCCAGCACCCCCCACCCCTACCCGAGAGAGCCTTCCACTACCACTGCCCCCCATACACTGGCAACCCCCCACCCTGACAAGAGATAAGACACTCACCTTCACAGCTCTGGATATCCCTCGGGAACAAGTGTCAGGCTCCGCATATACCATCAAGCAGCTCGCAGCCTCTCTCAGATCCCACCTGGTCCCCGTGCTGCGTGTGTTCCTTCTTCCTTTCCTTCTTTTGGGGGGCAGCGCTGCCCCCTGAAAATTGCTGCTGCCCCCCTAAAAAATGCCGCTCTAGGCAAATGCCTTGTTTGCCTTGTGGTAAATACATCCCTGAGTAGAGCTGTGGGTTTCCATAGTAGAAAACTGTGTTGCAGACTGTACAAAGAATGGCGAAAAGTCCCACTGGAGATATGCAGAACTTAAAAGACAGTTCCTTTCTGAACACTAGCTGGTGTTCCCTCTAGCGCACAACCAGCAGCTGACTATATAGGTGCCAAGGGGGTTAAACAGCACAAGTCCCAGTATCCCTTTAGAACAATCTATACTCACAAGGCCCTTGCTGCAGGTCACCTTTCTCCGTGATACCAGACAGGATCTGTGGACATTCTCCCTCAGTCAGCTCTTAAAGCACCCTGTGTTTCAGCATTCTGGCCCTTGGGTTGCCCACAGGAGACCTCCTGACAGCTTGAGCTGGCTGGAACTCTCTTCTCACAGGAAGAACCCAGATCACATGTGCTCACTGAATATAAATACCAGTACTCAGCATGGGTACCACTCCCTGTAATTGGCTACAGCTGAATCCATATTCATGCTACTGATCTCCATGGGTCACTTTTGTTCACCCAGAACCTTCCAAAGTCACCTGGATATAGAGGAGCCAATCACAGCAGCAGCAGTACAGTAGGCCACACAAGATACAGGAGACCACACTGTACTAAACTGGACTATATACGTCTTAGCAACCTACCTAGGCGGGTGCTACCCCAGTGTGCTGGAAATGCAAGCTGTCCCATTTGCTTGTACTCTCAACCAGACTATCAAACCATCAAATGTCTGGTGTCATAACTGATCACATGTGCAGTACCGTGGAGGTTGCAGATCAAACAGAAGTTAAGATGGCAGCTTCCTTGGCTGTAAAGGACAGGAGGGTTTAGTTTCGCTTTAAATGAATTTCATGGTCACATTATACACTTTCATTTTATAACATCAGTATTGTAATAGCAATTCAAATGGTAGTTATTTCTGACAATCCAGTATAAGCTTACCTAAAAATCTCCTTCAATATTTTGTGTTCTGTCTGTCTGATCTCTTTCCACAGCTTCCTAGATTCCCTACATGCTTTGCAGCTTCTCCTCTTCTGTTTACTTTCAATTTCAAAGGACTACATATCCCATGGTACCTTGCTGCTTGCAAGCACTGATTCTTGTACTGACACCTGACACCGCCTCCAGAAACTCCTCCTCTCAGCACATTTTGCAGGCTCTGTGAAATGTGTGACACAGAAATGCCTACTCACAGGACATAGTGAATATGTGTCACAGAATTCAGGGAAGTAAATGTGTGGAGATCTTCTTACGAACTTCAGGATGGTTCAGAGTAATAGAAGTAGGCTAGAAATAATTAAAATACAATGTGGAATTTAAAGTGATATTAAAGGTATTTTTTTTTAAATAAACTTATTATACTTACCTGCTCTGTGCTGTGGTTTTGCACAGAACAGCCCCGATTCTCCATTTCTTTAGTACCCTGCTGGTGCTCCTGACCTCTCCCTTCTGACTAGTGCCCCCATAGCGAGCAGCTTGCTATGGGGCACTCAAGCAGGCTTGCTCCTGAACCGCTGCTCTTTCCATTCAGACACCTCCCCCCACTCTCTTCTGATTGGCTCACTGGCTGTGATGGATAGTCTTAGCTGTCTCAGCCAATGAGGAGGGAGAGACCCCAGAGATCCACGGCTCTTGTGCACATAGCTGAATCAGGATCAGGCACAGAAAAGTGCCATACTTCACAGGAGAGGTGGAGTAATAGACATTCCTCCATCTCTTCCCACTTGCCATCCTGATGTGTTTTTTTTTTCAGACCTAGCACAAGAAAAAAAGGTGAGCCCAGGAAGTAGGGAGGGTCACATTAAAAAGCTAGATTGCTTCTACAAAAAACCCTTCAGCCTGCTCTTGAAAAGTAAACAAACTTGTAGCTGCTATTTCAGCCATGAGTTGGTTTACATGTCACTACTGTCACCAATGCAGTAGTTAAATCAGTGGCAGTAAAAGGGGTTAATGGTGTATGTCAGCCTGAGAATAAAAAAAGACCTATGGTTGTGACAGTGGGAGAAAAATAAGCCCCAAATAACTTGTATCAGCAGGAGAAGAATAATTCCCAACATTATCAGTGCCCCCATTTTTATCAATACCTCTCCATCATTCTTAGTACCTTTACATAGGCTAACCCCCCTTCAAGTCTATCATGAATGCTGCCACCAGAATTATTCACTTTACTATTCACTTGGTCGCCTCTCTGCCAATCACTCCACTGGCTTCCATTCACCCACAAATTAAATTCAAAATACTACCAATAACATACAAAGCCATCCACATCTCTGCACCCAGATATATCACCAGCTGCATCTCAAAATATCACCCAAACTGTCCTCTTCGCTTCTCCCATGGCCTACTGCTCTTTAGCAACCTTGTAACTTTCTCACATGCTCACATCTAGGAATTCTCCAGAGCCTCTGCCTTCCTTTTGAACTTCTTGCCACAATCTGTCTGGGTATCTCCTACTTTGTTTGCCTTTAAGTGATCCTTGAAAACTCAACTCTTCAGGGAAACCTATCCCACCTCCAAGCTATAAACTGTACTTTGACTGTCTCTATCAGCTAATCCCTCTGTTAGGACCTTGTTAACCAGCTGGTGGTGCTGTGGTTCTCTGGGCTGAAAGCTGTAGTTTCAGTGTCCACCAGCAGGTGTCTTCCAGCATCCAGCAGTTCCATGTAATCAGCTCCACCTGGTCCCAGCTGGTGGAAGGGTACTTAATGCAGACCATAGATAGGGAGAAAACAGGCCGTTTTTTTTTTTAGAAAAACAAAAAATCGGTCATTCAATCAGCTGACGTTACCACCATTGGTAAAAAAAAGTTGGCTGATTTTCGTCCCGTCTACGGCCGGCAATTATATAGAATATGCAGAAGAAGAAGAAAAATAGAATATGAATAAAAAGAAGAAATAGAATATGAAGCAGAAGAAGAAATAGAATATGCAGAAGAAGAAATAGAATATGAATAAAAAGAAGAAATAGAATATGCAGAATATGCAGAAGAAGAAGAAATAGAATATGAATAAGAAGAAAAAGTTGCAACATTGTATCTATTTGTATCCATTTCGGATACAGATGTTTCTATTCGGAAACAAATAGATACAATGTTGCTATACTTTTAAATGTCAAATATAATATTGGACTGAAATTCTTTTTTTTTTCTTCCACTTCTTCATATTCTATTTCTTCTACTTCTTCATATTCTATTTCTTTTATTTCTTCTTCTTTATATTCTATTCTTCTTTTTATTCATATCCTATTTCTTCTTCTCATTCATATTTTATTTTTTTCCTTTTCTACTTTTTCCTTCTTTCATGTCACTGCTCATGTGCATTTTTTAAAATCGGAAAAAGATCGGCAGATTTGTCCATCATTGCCGCGAAAATTGGCAGAACAACAAATTTGGCTGATTATTTTCCAGCAGCACCGATAATCGAAAAGG